GGGGGTTAATAGGGCTATTTGTAAAAATGGGAAAATATAAAATCAATGACCAAAACGGTCACTTTCAAAAAAAAAGGTGACCGTTTTGATCACTTGAAATTAACGATGGCCCACGAGTTGCTCGCACAAATGGCTTGGCTTGCCCAATGCACCGGCCCGTTTGGCTTGCGCTTGGGCTCGTATTTTTAAGAGCCCGAGCCGCCCACGAACCCCCATTTTTTTGAGCCAAGCGGACGAACCGACGAGTCACTCGGAACGATTGCCATCTCTACATACGTCTCTCCAAGCTAATTGAGGGACTAAATACTTTTAATTTTGATTAATGGAATTCCTAAAGAGGGATTGTTTCTTTTTTTTGGCGCTTAATCAGATATTTAAAAGATAAATTAAAATTTATTAGTCTATATTACAGGAAGAGTTTTGATTCATGAATAGAAAAAAAATAGAAAAAGCCTCATCAAATATTTCACATTTTCTACGATCACATTTGGAGTTATCATTCGTGTACCTGTACTCAATGGAAGAATCAATGATACAAAATATCATGGTCTTACCACTCGTCCTTGATGATAAGTGGGAGATTTGATATTGTAGCTTGTTGACGTAGGTCATAATTGTACTTTTCAATTTTTTATTAATTTGATTTGGGTAGTTGAACTAAAAATGTCTTGACTTGGATCAAACTAAGGCAGTATAGTTTAACCATTCTATTTTTATATAAATCTTCAAGTAGGCACAACTCTTTTCTAAGCGAAACTAAAAATGAAAAAGATAAAAAAAAACATAAAAACATTTAGTAACAAAGGGAATGAACTAAAAATTAAATACACGTTAATTTGTTGAAAATAAGATATATATAATTACATAAAAGACTTCTCTCTTTTTGAACTAGTAACAAAAGAAATACCTACCATATTCATTCCTGAATATTTTTCATTACATCTGTCATGCATATTTTTCTCGTAAAAATAAAATCGTAATAAAAAACACTACAAAACGTATTCCTTATTTCGTATTTTTGGTCTCGTTTTTAAATAGTTCATAAAAAAAAGTTTTTTCTTTTCAAAGAATGATAGACAACTAAATAATTTTTAAATAATTCACAATTTAGTTAGAAAAAATTAATGAACCCAATATTTAGATATTACTTGTAATTGATAGGACAATAGCTTAAACAATTTAGATAAACAACATTAATATTCTAGATCTTTTGGACTCATAGTCACGTATAAAGCAATAAGGTAGATCATTTCCTTAAAACTTTTTTTTATCAAAATTAAAAACAAAAAATTAAAGACACTAATGCAATTCCTAGTGTGTGAATTTTTTACTTACTATTTGTGTCAGTGGTGTGACATTAGATTACTTGATTCTCTTTTGTAGCATTTATATGGTCGAGGATAAGGAATTCCCATTCTTACCCTCTTCCACTACTTTAATCGGCTAAAAAATGAGAATGTAAAATTAAATAGTACAAATAAAATTTAAATTTTTTTAATATCATATACGATTGATTAATCAATTTCACTAAGTAAATAATAAGAGAGTATTTAGTTATTTTTTCTCTCTCTCTATTATGTACTAGTTTATTCGATACTAGAAAAGTTGATCAACTATAATATGGATCTTGTAAAATTAAATAGGAACTACAGTTATTTGAGGCTAACAATTACGTTATATCTTTTAAGATAATTTTAACACTCAAGGTTAGCGAAATTTTAATTATATCTTCTAATTAAATAGCTAATAACTTTCTTGTGGTTAAATTCATTCCAAAATGAAGATCTCAATCTCACATTAATAACATTTATATATCATCCTGAATTTTACCTCTTCCCGTTAACAACCTTTATACATCTACAAATTTTTAGCAGAAAACCAAAGACAAAATATTATGCAAAGAATTATATCGAAATTCTGTGAAATTTAAAGGCATATAAAAAAATAACTCGATATATCAAGAATTACAAATTCGTGTCATTTCAAAACACTTGACAATTTAACCACTAAATGTGACATGATTTGTTGAAAATGAAATAAAAATAGCACATAGTTAAGAGGAGGCATGACCTCGAGCTAAATGCGTAAAAATCGAGTAGACTTTGCACTTCATTCTCCATAGTCATACTCTTTGTTGTCACCATATGTCGAGTGTAACTACTTTGGCTTTTATTCTTGCTGGCGGAACATCGAAAACAGGGCATGTTATTTTGCTTTGGCGAATGTAATTATAGCATATATGTTAAGAATAAAATATTTAAAATAAAAGAAAATCTCACGTACCTGCATCACAATCTAGGGAAATTGGGAATGTCAATAACTTCGTCGTTTCCTATTGTACTCCCTTAAGCTTTGGCGCATTTAGCTGTCCCGAGCAAAATAAATTTTTGTCATCTCAGGGCAATCTCGAATAACCAATTGATCAAGTGAAGGGAACACAGGTTCACAGTTATGAGAACAAAACATTTTGAATCTTGGAAGACCCCTTAGTTCTATGCTCCTCAATTTACCGAACACAATTTTGCTGGGCGATTCGGTAATTTCATTTTCTCGCGTGTCCATTGAAACAACTTCTTCTAATGTCAGACATGACGATATATCTACAGACTGGAGATTAACCATGCATTTTGCAACTGACTCAGAAAACACACTTTTAATTTTAGGACAACTGCGTACTGCAATTTCTTTGAGGTTGCGGAATGGCGATTCGGTAATTTCAATTTCTTGCGTGTCCATTGAAACAACTTCTTCTAATGTCAGACATGAGGATATATCTACAGACTGGAGATTAACCATGCATTTTGCAACTGACTCAGAAAACACTCTCTTAATTTTAGGACAACTGTGTACTACAATTTCTTTGAGGTTGCGGAACGGTGCTGGTTCCATCTTTGGAAGATTTCCATTGTGTATCTCTTTCAGATAACGCATCCCAGTCAATTTCAGATATTCCAAATTGCCGAAGATTCCACTTGGAATGGAGCTTGTAGCATCAATAAGATACTCAGAATCCAAACCGGTTAGCTCCAGACTCTTCAAGTCACTGAAACCATCTTCAACTAACTCAATGACAGGATTGCTCCAGCCTTCCACTGACAGAGAAAGTTTGTCAGTTCTTCTCATTAATGACTTAATTCCAGGTTCCAAAAGCATTTTTGCATCAATAGCGTAGAGATTCAATTCCCTTCGAAAATAACTAGAATGATGAACGGAATTTATGCAGATTTGAAATCTTTCCAGCTTCTCAAGCTGCTCAGAGCACCCTTGTAATACTTGCGTCAGAACCCGAGCATCGAAAGCCTCAAGTTGAAAAGTCTTGAGATCCTTCAATGAACTTAACTCTTTGATAATGTGCTCGTTTTCTTCATCTATTGTGTTGAGACAACTTCCCAAATACAACTCTTCTAGTTTCTTCATACCGAACAAAAAACCAGGGAGAAGTATGCAGGAATCCTCCATATTCCTCAAATCCAGTAACCTTAGGTTGCTAAGTTCTACCATTTCGTCAGAGCGAAAATTGTTGGGTTTTTGATACCCAATAAATCCCGGGCTATGATGTTAACGTGGGTTAATATTATTTCATAGGCATAGGCCGATGAATGAAATAAGTCCAACAACCAAGTCCATGAGCTACACCCGGCCCAATTGTATTCCTTATGGATGGCTTGAATCTTGGCCCGCTTACCCCTTTAGTGGCCCAACTTAAAGCCTAACCCTAGAGTATATATATGAATATAACCCTAGCCTCTTTATGATGATGATTGTGTGATTTTGAGAGAAGAAACTAGTGAATCCCGGCTGCCCTCCTTTTGTGTGAGAAAAAGGTGTCCAGAAGTGTCCAAAACGCTTGTATAACGTGTGCAATTGGTAGTTCTTTCATAGTATACCTTTGTGGTGTCTTCTCCTAGCCTTTGTGGCGATAAATCATCATCCCTACTTGTCCTACGTGGGTAAGATTGTATAGCAACCAAGGTGAATCATTTTGATTGTGGTTTGGAGCCGTGTGGATTGGTTGTTGGTAGAGAAAGGTACGTTGGACTGAGCCTGAAAAATCACCGTTTGAAGATCCTTTTGAGAGAGCTTCCGCAACAAAAATCAATAGAGATGGAAGAACCAACAAATAAGAGAATTTCCAACTTCTTTAGACTTTCAAAGAATGACATTCCGATCTCTAACTTACAGTTGATCAAGCACAAAGTTCGAAGACCTGGCGGCAGTCGGATCAGTGATCGAATTCGAACTCCAGAGAAATCAATAACTCTAAGTTCCTGCATATAATCAAAAAAATCTTCGGGTATGTTAATTACACTTTGACTCCAAAAAGATCGCACCCGTAAGAACTCGAGTTTCCCATACTGTAACCTGCTGGGTAGCAAAATCCCCCCTCGAAACGTTAGTGAGATGGCACCGTAGGATTCATGGTTATCACGTTCTGGCCATTCTGTCCTTATATCATGTTTCACCATATACCTATGTTCACCTTTAGATGCAATTGATAAACAAAAATCTCTGATAACATCACGCAATTTGACATCCTCCCCCCTATCACCTGATAGTAACAAATGACGACTTTTTAGAGTATCAGAGATTGTATATACCCGATTTCTGGTAGCTAATAATGTGTCGGTATATTGAAACAGTTCTAGACCCCTTGCATATGTAACCAAACTTTCAATTGAAATACTCTCGTCTTCAGGAAAAAGAGAGCATAGCAAAAGAAAGGACCTATGTTCATCACTTTCCAAATAGTTGTAGCTCAATTGTAGTCTTGAGTGTACCTCACTGATCGGGACCTCATCACGATGTTGATAATGCCGCAGTTGATTAAGAGCATCCTTCCATACATGCGGTTCTCGATTTACGAGTGTTTTGCCAACAACCTCAAGTGCAAGAGGTAAACCTTTACACTCCTCTGCAACTTGTTCTGCTATGTCCTTCAGTCCAGTAGCATCATTAGAAATCTTTGCCACATTTTGAAAAAATGCAAAAGCTTCTTCTCTAGACAAAACTCCAACTTCAATGTTACGAGCTCCCATCCTTTCAAGGACCAGTTTGTCCCGTGATGTCAACATAATTTTCAACCCCTCAGGACGATTTAATGAAGGAATTCCCAATGTTCCCAAATTAATGTCTGTCCATACGTCATCTAATATTACTAGAATTCTCTTTTTATTATCATAGGTAAGTCTTTTGGCAAGTTGTGCAGCTCTCGCATCTTCATTTGTCCTTTCATCAATTGAGAAATCGAGCATTTCAGCAAGTTTATCCTGAATTCTTATTATGTCTACATCCTTAGAAACAACTACCTTGGCAACCTCATCAAATAATTTATCTTCGAGTACTTGAGTCATTACTCCCTGTGCCATTGTCGTCTTACCTACCCCAGGCAGGCCACATATCCCAACTATGCTGATACCAGTGTCCTCTAGGGCTTTTATGATTTCCTTCTTAGTTGATATCCTTGACTTCAAAGCCTCAGACCCATGGACAGGCATCAACTGTAGTGGTGCACGTACGCCTACCTCACCAAATTTAACACCTCTTACTTGGAGCTCATCAATTGCAGTAATCTTCTTTGTGGCATTCCTGCTCAGCAAGTAACGGGCCTTCAAATTTGGACACCTAAGGTATGGGCATTGCATTTCAGAATTTGTTGTGCTGTTAAAAAATTTATCAGCCTCTTTCTTTAAATCATCAACCTTTTTCAGCCATGAATCCACCTCTGATTTAATAACTAATGCATTTCTTTTTGCTCCATCCGCTGATAATTGCACATCATTTCTCTTATTTTCAAGATCTTGCACTTTAGACCTCAAATTTTGAATGTTCCTATTGTAGCAAAACATGTACTTAAATTGGCGGGAAAGTGGAGCAATAGTGTAATCTGCAAGCTTCTCAACAAAGGGACCGACAATGGATTCCGCCATTATGAACTTTTCTATTTTTGTCCTACGAGTTGTGTTAGTACTTCCAAGCTTACCAAGGATATTTTACCAAGTCCAGAAAAATTGGAAGTCTATCAGCTGCAAGACAAACAATGTCGGTGAAACCTATTGAATTAAGTGTCTAGAAATCACATATGAGCACAGCGATGCTACTATGTCAAAATTCATATATATATTTTCTCCTTAATGTTTGAGTGGATGATATGTTAGGGGAAATTTAGGGGGAATTTTCCTGGCTCAACTGAGAGAAAACTGTGAAAACGAACAATTCATAAGCAAAGACGGGGGGAAAATTGTTATCATTAATTTGACAGATAATTCTTGTGAACTGATTATTAGACAGTATCTGATTTCAAGAATTATCGTAAGTACGAGTCAAAGAAAATGAATATTGAAGAACTAAATTGTTAGACTTTGGTTTGAAGAAGACGACAGAATTTCTAAAAAGGAGTTCGACCCATTTGTGGCTAAAACAAATATTGTGGAGTGTGGTTAAACTTATGAGATCTAGTGAACAAGACTAGACCATCTAAAAAGGGAAATAGTTGATTACCATGTATATAGGATGTATTACACTTTACATATATTGTTTTTAAAATTATAATTTACATATATACTACACTCACTATAACACAACAAAAAGACTAATTGCTAAAAAAATGTTGAACTTGCTTGTATGTCATTATAATTTGCTAAAGAGTTTAAGGGGGGAAAATCGACTATATTTATCTATTATGTAACACGGTACCTTTTAAATTTTAAAATATTTTAATATCTATCAAAAATTTTAATGCTTGAAATGAGTAAAAAATTAATGTTGCATTAAAAATATAGAAAAAAATATTTTATTTTTTATGTTAGTTATTAAATTCTAGGCTAATATTAGGTTTTTTATTTGTTTTGAGTTGGATTATTAGCTTCATAATATTTTACACGTTAATGTATTTTAAAGAGTACGTGCGTATTTTTTTCCCCTGTAGTGAATGGTCTTTTTATTTTCTTTCTTTTCTTAAATATATAAATTTATGTTATTTAGACAAGTGACTCAATTAAAAAAAAATTATTTATGAAAAATATTGAGTAAAGAGAGAAAATGTAGTTTTTGGATAAAGCAATAATACATTTTTTGGATGAGTAATAAACTAATTTAAAAAGTATGTAAAGCAAATTGACTTAAATGAGTACATTGATTTCAAGATTAATTTTCTCAAGTGAACCACTATCTTGCAGGCATGTCATGGATAAATTTCACATCAAAGAAATGATAAATAAATAGCATAAAGGTTTGGACTGCTTCTTTTAAGATTTGACATTTTAAGACAAAACTCTAGATCTCGATAAATTGATACTAGATTGATTGTTTTTCTTTTCTCTATATTCTATGTAGTTTTCATTATTTAAATTTTGATCAACAAGTTTTTAAGTGTTAATCATTTTCGTTGCATTTATGTCGTATGTGTTGGTGTTGAAACTGTAGATATGTTCCTTGTTGAGATGGCTTCAAGGAGATAATCAATTTTGTAAATGAATGTATAATTGATGGAGTTGGAGATATAACAAGCTTAACGATTGATAGAAATGGAAAGACCGCATCAACAAATGGAGGTGTCAAGACACCAAGATTAATGAATTTCTATCCTAATGTGTGACGGTCAAGGAGATGTAGCAGTAAAGGAATCAATGGTGAAGGAGTGCTTCGATGATGATAATAACCCTTTCGTCCCTCTTTATCACGGATTCACGAGCGATGAATGGATATTATTTTGGGTAAGGGAACATGAAACTATATTGATATTTGATAAGATAGCTAATTCGAATTAGGAATATGGCGGTTCACTCTTTTTTATGTTGAGATATAAAAATATTTTAATAATGACCGCAGCAAGAAAGTTCATGTAGAGTTTGGCAAATGTATGGATTTTGGCAACACTATGGTGTGCCAATTTTCGATGAAGAAGTTGAAGTTGATGATTTTTTGAATTTGGATAACAATGTTAATGATTGTACCATAGTTTTTTACGAGAAACCCAATAGTGAAATTGAAGAGTTGTTCAAAAATTTTAGGTAAATTGTGGATTTTATTATTGACTATGACTTGCAGTCAATAATTTTTATTTTAATAAGAAAGAAAGAGAAAGGGGAGAGACGAGTTTGATAAGGTTGGTTTGGAATCACTAACTAGGAACGAGAATGTGCTAGGACAATGTATGGAGTTTGGTTGGCGTTCAAGATGAACGATGTAGATTTGGCAAGTGCAAATGATGAAAAATGTGAATTTGGATTAAAAGATTTTATTGTACCGACTTATTGATAATAGAACTAAAAAGTAATTTTGAAAAGACTTTGGATGAAAATATTGGACCGAAGCATTTGTTTGGGATGAATTTTGGCTTTATATTATATTCCCATTTTTACTTTATTAGGTAAGGACAATTCTTTATTTTTCTAAGTTAAGGATTATATTCCAAATTCATAAAAGATTGGAATTAGGTTGGATGTATTCAATTCTAACTTTCAAATACTTTTGCTGACTTTTTCAAGTGAGGGATTTTTGTAGAGTTCATGATAGAATACTGGCTTTTATAAATTCTATAGAATTATGATGGAAAGAGCTTCAAAAACTGCTATAAAACTATATTTTCAAAGACTTTCATAAACTTTCACAAACTTTTATGTACTTTTGTAGACTTTAATTTCAAAAGATTTTTGTAAAATCTTGATCAAAAATGCATATAATCATCAAAATATCACACTTATGGACTCAATGAAAGAAAAACAATTGAAGTTGTATGAAAACAATTTTACAAAAAAAAAATCACCCATGCTTATCGAGATAAAAAGAAAAAATGAAATTCCACAATGGACCCAAGCAACAACGAAAATGGAAAAATCCACAATGAGAAAAAGTAAAAATATAAATATAAAATAAAATACAGTTATAAAAGATTAATCTTTAATCTGTTGAAATTTATAATCAACCAATAGAAAAAAATTAATTACAATTTTATTTCATTTTTATGAAAAAAGAGGGTAACTGTGAAAAAGAAAAAAAAAGAGTGAGAGAGAGAGAGGTTAGGAAAATATTAAAAGAACATTATTTCATATATTTCCTTCATCACAGTAAATGGGATGAGTTTTTCCTATTGATAATTCTTATGCAATAAAATATTGAGAGATTTTTTTTTTTCTCTATTTTGTCCAATTCTTAATACTCAAATTTTGATTCAACGAGTTCTAGAATTTTAATCAACTTCTCCATGCTTCGTTGCATCACGAGGCAGATCATAGAGTTATCCGGCATTAGATTCCACATGGATTAACTCTTTCTTGATCTAGAATTCATGGTAAATTTATGCAACACTAAGAAAAAGATTAACCAAAATAAACTGAAATAAACGTGCATAACAGACATACATACCTTTGTTCTGTGTGTTGATTATCAGCTGCTGACTTGTTGAGAAAACAGCTAGAGTAGAAATTTGAAAAATGTACAAAAATCTGGTCGATAAAATTCAAGAAACTATTTTAGAATTATAACCATACTGAATAGTTTAGAAAATAATGCAATTGATCAATTTCATTACCAGAAGCTTTTTGCAATTACTGATCGTGTTTCCTCTTCCCTTCATTGCATGATTTCTTAAACTGACTAAGAAAGAGAAAGTAAAGAAAAACAAGAGAAGCTGCAGAGAGAGAGAGTAGACAATTAATCTGAAGTAAAGGAGATGAAGTTGCTACGATGTTGGCTATTGGAATAGAGCTATATATATTGTCTCTTTGGAATCTTAATCGCTTGCAAAACGGGCTAAGAAGATAATCTCTAGAGGATAAAAGTGGTTACTTTCTTGTTTTGTTTATATCTGGAAGAAAAGAATGTTTTGTCTCATAGAATGCTTGTTTTGTTTATACAAGTAAACCCACTGCCCTGCCCAAGCATCAATTCAAAAATTGATCAGAGAGAAAGAGTGAGAAGGGAAAAAGGTTTTCCCTAAGGACAACTATTACTTTTTTTACTTTGTTGCTTACGCACTCTCATGTACATCACACCACCATTTTTCCCCCTTAACCATTTTGTTTCTATTATAGCCCATTTACCTTAGATGCTTTTACCCTATTGCGTATTTTTGAATACATCACTCAGCTGCATCAATAAACTTATCCCCTATTCTTTTTTGTCTCGTTTTGGTCTAGCTCGACAGGGGAAAAAAAAAGGGGATCTTTTCAAAGAATGACAAACAACTAAACAATTTATAAATAATTCATAATTTAGTTAGAAACAATGTAAACAAATATCTAGATGTTACTTCTTGTCTTAAACAAATAGATAGGCAGCATTAATATCCAAGATCTTTTGCACTCGAAGTCACATATAACGTAATAAGGTGGACCATTCACAATTTTTTTTTTGTTTTTTTTTTTTTTTTCACTTACTATTTGTGCAAGTGTTGTGACATTAGATTACTTGATTCTCTGTTGTAACATTTACATGTAGCCACTACTTCAGTCGGCTAAAGAATGAGAAAATAGAATTGGACAATATAATAAATATTAGACAATTTGTTGTCAAACGACCTCCCATGATGATGTAAACTTAGCTTTATTTAATTTCAGTCGGCATTGATCATATGACTGAACAATATGTCAACACCACTATTGAGACGACCCAACCCAATTTTCTACGGACCATTAGAAGCAATCTAATTTAATAGTGTTGCTCGTGCGTCCCATTCACTTGGAAGGCTATGATACCCATTTAGAACCCATTACCTTTGCGTTGGGCCTTTTGGGCAACCAATTTTGACCTAACCTAACTTACCTTTTTGGCCTCTCACTTGGGCTATAATTTTCGGTCTCTTGTGCCTCCAAGAAAACGTGTCTTCTACCTTCTCTTTGTGATCTCGCGTCTGCTCATTCTTGGCCTTTTCTCTTGCGTAACCTGCGTGGTTTCTCTTGGATGATATTACTCTTCCTTTGGCCATCTC